TTAGCCAATCACATCGCGTTCTCCAAATTTCTGCCCACACCACGCCCTGCATTCGCCAAGATGAGTACCACGCCATTCCACCCTTGCCAGAAGGTACATGTACCTCCGGTGCGAACGAGATGGTGTCCTCGTGCGTTGCCGTAGCACGCATAACTTACCGTGTTGCTTTACACGACCACCAAGCACTGACGCAGGGTTCTCGAAAGCTTCGTTCCACGGGCATAGCCCAAGCCGCTGGCAGGGATTAGATACTATATAAGCGAATTCAAGCCAAGCCGGTTCGGGCCGATCGTGGTACGCACGACGATGATCGCAAATGGCTTGCGCTGCGGCCTCTCGCTTGGTGCGCGGCGTCGACAAGCTGGACGTTCGACCCTCTCGATTGCGGTAGGTCGCATACGGTCGGTGGCTAGCGTTGGTGCTGCGTTTTTAGGGCGTTGAAAGCCGTTGCCAAGTTGTTGGGCCGTGTGAGTCACAGATGGTAGAGTGCACTGGACTCTCCGCTATCACGCCAATAAGAATCGGCAAACCACAACGGAATGGCAAGCGGCCTGAATCCCACTTCTTCGTCGTCGTCCCAAGGCGACACGCCCACGTACGGTCGTCTTACCGCAGCCGAGCTCATTGGTTCGTGCCCGGTGCTTGCGGAAGGAGGCACGATGCTCGAAGACCCTGCGCCGTTCAAGCCGACGGTGCGCCACATGTGGCCGCTTCTGCCGGGCCGTACGACGCGACTCGCTTGCATCTGGCTCCTCCTGACCCAAACCTGTAGTCGCCATCGTCGGCGCCTTTGCGTACCTCGTGTCGATCATCATCACGGACAACTGCGTCGACTTGACCATCTCCGAGGTCACGTACCGCGACAATAACATCCTTGGCGAGCAATGCCGGGCCGTCGAGCGCGAGGTGCCGTGGCGCGAGCTCACGCGCAAGCTCCGCCGCTGCAGGCGCCACGAGTACTATGTACGCTTGCAACAGCATCCTCGAAATGGACTCACGATGCGCGTAGGACCCGCTGCACGACGACTGCCAGCGGTGCCCCGCGACAACGCCCCACGACCGAGTCTTTGCCGTCTTTTGGGAGACCCAGAAGGACTGCGCCCGCGTACGAGCTGCGAATGTTTGCACGGCTCTCATGGCAGCATGCGTAGCTCGTGGAGGAAGTCAACACCAAGTATGTGACGCACGTCTACTGGGCGTTTGCGACGCTGAGTATGACGGGCGAAGTCTCGCAGTCGCTGCAGTTTTGGAACGACGAAGCGATCATGAACTGCATGGCCGAACTGCGCATGTAAAACCTCTTGTCAGTGAAAACCGTGGCTGACGACGCTGTAGGCGCTGCATCAAGCAGCTCATCAGTATCGGCGGCGCCGAGAGCCGCGACTCGTTCTACGCCCTCCGCGATGAAAAGTCGCTCGAGCTCTTCACTCGCACGTCGCTCTCGGTCGTCAAAAAGTACGCTCGTCGTTCGAGCCTCCACCTTCTCATAATCCTGGCCGTAGGTTTGACTTTGACGGCATCGACATGGACGACGAGAGCGGGAACCAGCCGCAAGCTAGCTTCAAGTGGAAGGAGACGCAGGCCCCCGTCGTGTACAAGTACCTCTCGGCGCTGCGCAAGGGTACACACGCTAGCTTGTGCGCCACCATTTTCATGTGGCATATATGCAGGTATGGACGCGATGCAGGCGCCGGACGAGCCGCGCTACTTGCTGACGTGGGATGAGTTTCCGACGAGCTTGGACGGCCAAGAAGGTGGGTACGTCGGCTGCAGCCTCGTCTCGGACGGTGGTTGGTTTCGCTGCTACGACAAGAAGATCACGCCGCTCCTCGATTGGGTCAACATCATGTTGTACAACATCCCGTCCACGGTAGTATCTATTGTCCGTAGCGTGTATGACGTAGCCAAAATCCTAGGACGGGTACGAGGCGATGATGAGTCGCCGCATTCCGCAAAACTGGGTGCCCGCGATTGGCGCCGACAAGCTCATCATTGGCGCCTGCAGCAGCCTCGGGTGCGTCGAGCCCGTGCCGCCGCCGGGCCAATCGTACAAGAATGCATACAACGGCTCGGCCTTGTACAAAGGTATGCGGTGCTACATCTGGCAGCGGAAGGCTCATGGCTGGATCATAGGCGCTATGCTATGGAGTGCAACCAACGACGTCCTGTACGACGGCGGCCACACGATGAGGACGATGGGCCAAGCCGGCAACTACGGTGTCCGCATGCCGTTCCGACCGCTTGACGTCTAGTTCCATCTTGCTTTGAATGCCAATGAAACCATTTACTTGGTTAAATGGCGATCCCGTAAATGCTAATGACGACTTGCATCGAGCTGTTCTCCCACGTTACAAAGCACGCGCCTAGATACACGAGCGTCAAGGACCCTCGTCAAGCATGGCGGTCCTGCGCACCGTCCGACTTTTCATCCCAGTAGCAAGCACTAAGTGTCGCCGATCACGTCAGCAACGCGCGAGCGCAACGTATGTACCTCTCGACGTCGAGGCCACCGCCCTTCTTTTGCTTGATGGAGCAGGTCGCAATGTACTTGAAGTTCTACGATCCATGTAGCTGGGATCCTAGCGAGAGGACCGCGCACCTGACAGAGCCGCTTGAGGTCGTCAATGCACGACGCCGTGATCGTGTTGATCCAGTCGTTGACCTACAAATGCGATGCCATGCGGCGCCGGCGAAGGATCGCACCTTGGCCTGGTCGTACGCCTTGCCCTCGAGCGAGCTCAGCACTGCGTCCTGGACGATCGTCGTGACCTCGTCCTTGAGCAGCGGAAAGTCAAAGCACGTCGACGGTGCCATGTCAGATCTTGGTGGCGAACCGGTGCGGTGGCTTTCGGATTTGGCCTACCGGAATGCAAACCCGGGTATCTTGGTTTCGGCATTATCCGAAACGAAAAGCAACCAAGACCGAAAACTGGGTTGCCGACTTGCCACAAAGCTTTGCCACGAGGATGACGACGACCGCGCCGGCGGGCTTTGAGTTCCCCGAGCACTACCACTTCCCGCCCTTCTTTACGTATTGCGCCGTCGGTGGACGAGGCGATAGCTCATGGGCGACCGTAGGCTGCAGCCGATCCGGTCGACGCGGGAGAAGCAGCTCATCCTCTGGAAGACGCTGGTCGTCGAGTACCACCGCGCGCTGCAGCAGCCCATCTTTACACCTAACACGACGCCGATCTTCGAGAACACGACCATCAACCGTACGAGCCTCATGCGCTGCCGTCATCTCATGCACGACGCCGATAGGTAAGCTCTCGATGGAAGCACGCCATGCGGTCGTAAGCTACATCGTGCGCTGCGGCAACGGCGAGTGGGAGGACGACACGCACACGCGCTGCCGCATCTTTTGGAAGTCGCCCGCCGAGTGGGCCGCCGAGATCTACGCCTTTGTACTGTCATGATGTATCGCGTGCGATCAAACACATATCTTTGTCTCTCTGGGAGTAGGCCCAAGACAATGGCATGCTCAACAACGTCTACACGCTCTACGAGCTGCACGCAGGCGACGAGACTGAAGGCGCCAGTACGATACCCGTGTCTGTTTGGATGGAGGTTGGAGCATCTACGTAGGTTTTTATGGCATTGAAATGTGGTTGCTCCGCAAAGCTCTGGAAGTGCTCGAGCACGAAGCCAAGGTAGGCGTGCTCGCAGTCGACATGTGCAGCCACATAGCCTGTAGGCGGCCATCATTCACGGGGATACGCCCGAGAACGACGGCGTCAAGTTCCTCGCCACCGCCTAGTTCTGCGTGTCATTGTTAATACGACCTCGCCTTGATTGTCGACTTGCGTCTTCGCCAGGACGACGTCGTCATTGCTATGATGAGAAGCAAGAGAATCTTTCTTGTCTGGTCTGTTCGCATGACCGATCCAAGGAGCGACTTGCTCATCGCAGCTGCCAGCCGTCGCACGTCGATGGAGCTCGTTCTGGATGCGCCAGCAGCAGCGCCAAGACTGTCTACCTCAGCTAGGCGACATGTCCTAGCTGTCCTCGACGCAGTCACAAGCGTGCGGACAAGCAAGCATGGCATTCGCCTCCGCAGAACGAGCATGGCGTCAAGATCGGGGGCGGTATCCGGATGGCAATGTGTCCCCCGCAAAGGCACGTGTATCATTGGCTGAAAATGACGGTTGTCCGGATACGAGTTTTAAAAATTCAAAAGAGCAATTTTGGGGCGTCCATTAGCCAGCGCCATGAGCGACGACGAGGGTGAGTATGCTGCCGATGCCATGCTGTCCGAGGACGAAGATGAGATCCGCGAGTTCATCGTCCCGCTGCATGTGGACGACCTCGAGCTCGTCAAGCGCGACCGCATCTACGTGAGCCACGTGACCGACTTTGCCGAGCTCCACAAGACCGTGCACATGACCCAGCTCAAGGGTACCCGACGACGTCGCATGGCCGTGGCGATTCAACGACCTACGTGAATAGAGCTGCAGCGAACGATCCACGCCAACCCGTTCGGGATTGTCGACGCCGAGGCCTTTGACGTCCTCTACAGCTTCCTCAAGTACGCCCCTGCGCCTGGATATGGCCATGACCACATGCTTCTTCTAGAGCGGTCAAGCACCTCAACGACGAAGCGCGGCTCCTGCTCCTGCTGTTGACCAACTCGGCGCTCAGCGACATTGCCAAGCTCCTTCGGCGCTCCAAAAAAGAGAGTAGGATCTTCTTTATCCTGTGGGGATGCGTCTCAGCATGATATGCAGACTCTCGCCGCGCGCGGAACGCCCTCAAGATTGCTGCGTACGTCTTGTGCCAACTGCTCATGAAGATCTCCAAGCTCACGGCCGAGCACGACAAGGACATTGTGCACAAGAAGGACAAAGTACGCGCGCTTCATGGCGTTGCTCGTGGACGAGGTCGATTCGCGTAGGCGGCCAAGTCCAAGATGGTGCACTGGGCCAAGCAGTTTGAAACCAGCGTTGAGACGCTGCAAAAGTCGCTTTGCGACGAGACGCTCGCGCTCTGGAACATGCGATTGCCGGAAGAGGTCGGTGTTTCCGATTTGTCTCTTTTTCAACACAAAGGCCGTAGGAATTCATTGGCGTCTACTGCACGGCCGTCTTCCAGCTCCTCGAGAGCCCGCTCTTCATGCGGTCCAAGCCCCTCAAGTTTCACTGCTACAACGTACGACCCATCATTATCGTTGGTGACACAACATGGTGTAGCTCGTGTCCGAGTGTCTCTTGCGTGTGCCCAGCGTGCACGTGACAGTCACGACGTCGCTTCTCGAGCTCATCTTTGCGCACGAGCACCTCTCGGTGCCGCTCGGCGACTTGATCCAGTTCCTCCAAGCCAAGCATTCGAACGCCAAGATTGCGGCCGATCTCATCAAGTACGCTCGCCATGGATCTATCTGTGTGGGATATTGATGGAGCGCTTTCTGGCCAGTGAAATCGCCAAAATCCGCCAGCGCGAATCGTCGCGCGACGTCTCAGGCACGAAGAACGTGTCGGCCTTCTTCGTACGTTCGTCGATCTTGTCGCGACTGTGACCGGTCTTTGCCTCTAGACGCACCTTTCCAAGCTCATGCCGTCCGTGGTCCTCGCCAACTTGTCAATCGTGCTCCCGCTTTTGGACGCCGAGTCGTACTACCTCCGGAACGCTGTTGTCTCGGCCGTGACCAACATCCTCGTCGCTGATCGACTTGCCAAGAAGAAGGCGGAGCGACTCGCGTCCGCGACGTCCGAGGGCCAACCCGATGCAAGCGACGACGACGAAAACGACGACGAGAATGACGAAGGCCGCGTCATCGTCGACGAAAAGTTCCGCGTCCTCTCCAAGAACCGGCGCGACTCACTCTTTGCAGTGCTCGAAGACCGTGTTCATGACGTCAACTCGTTTGCGCGCAGTCACGTGATCAAATGTTTCAAGGACCTCGTCGAGCGTGACGCAGTGCCGCTGCTGCAAAAGCCGGCGCTCACCAAGCTCGTGGTCGCGCGCATGAGCGACAAGACGGCGACCGTGCGCAAGAACAGTATCCAGCTGCTCACGGCGCTGCTCGAGCACAACCCGTTTGAAGGCAAGCTCGACCGGAGCTACTACGTCCAGCACATGGCACGAATCGCGGACGAGATGCAGGGTCTCCAAGCCGTCTTGATGGACGACGTTGAGGAGACCATGACGCGACGCATCTCGGGCATCCACCTCAACGAAGACCAAGTCGCGGAGAAGGAGACGCAGAAGGAGCTCGAGCTCGAGAAGCTCAAGAAGATTTACAACTTTTACGCCCAAGCGCTCGAGTTTATCGACATTATGGAGAAGGTTGCGATCCCGCTCCTGATTCAGCTGCTGCGCAGCTCGACGGGCTCGGACGTGCTTGAGGCCATCGCGTTCTTCCATGCGGCGCACGCGTTTCAATTTCAGCAAGCGACGCGCGGCATCCGCGGCATGCTCATCCTCATCTGGCGCTCGGACCCGTCGATCCAAGAAGCAGTCCTCAAGACGTTCCAGTCGGTGCTCTTCTTTGTGCCCAACACAGACAACCAGCTGACGCCGGCCGAGGCGGCCAAGACGCTGCTCAAGTTACTGGACGGGTGCACGGTCAGCGACTCAACGTGTCTAGAGCAGTTGCTCTCGGTACTGCACGCGCAACACATGATCCCGGAGCGCGTCATCAATGCGCTTTGGGACCTCTGCAACGCCGAGTCGTCGTGCCACACGATTGGCCACGCGATTTGGCTGCTCTCGATGCTCACGACGACCAAGACGACGCACCGCCACACGCGTCTTCTGCTCCTGCTCGAGCACGGGCTTGGGCCGCGCGTGCAGGCCGAGCACAACTGGCTCTGTGTGCGTGCGACGTCGCAGATGCTGCAGCGCTGGAACCTCAAGGACAAGTCGGGGGGCGCCAACATGATTGACCACATTGCGAAGCTCGTCATGCGCCTCCAAGCGTTTCTGACGACGAACGAAGACACGAACGCCGACTGGTTTGACGCGGCGCAGCAAGCGATCGAGGCGCTCTTCCATGTGTGCCAGTACCCCGAGGAGCCCTGTGGTGACGTTATTGCGACGTGGTCGGCCATGATCTTCCCGAAAACGGACGAGGACATGGAGGGCGCCGCGTGCACGGCGACGGAGCTCGCCAAGTTTGTATTCCTCTTGGGGCATATCGCGATCCGCATGGCCGTGTACGTCGAGTCGGTGGCGAGTTCGGTGAAGGAAGCCCGCAGCAAGATCAAGCCGTCGGCCGACGAGCCGCAACAGAGCATGGAAGAGGAGCTCGGCATGACGGCCGAGATCGAAGCGCACGACGAAGAGATGCTGCAGGAGCTCACGCAGCACGAAATCGTTGGCACGTACGTCCTCGAATTGTGTTACAGTGTATTATGAAAATGCCAAACTATGGACGCGTAGGAACCTCCTGGGCGCGTACGGACCGATTCTGGTGCGGCTCGTGGCCAACGAAGACGGCTGCTTTGATGACGAGATGATCAAGGAGACAGCGACCGTCGCGCTGTGCAAGTTTATGTGCATCTCGTCCGACTTTTGCGAGAAGAACCTCCCACTCGTCTTTACCAAGCTCAAAGAATCGGAACAGCCGTCCGTACGTGTCGATAGATTGAAACATTGATGTGCTGATACTCGATGGTAGGTGCGCTGCAACATTGTGGTCGCGCTTGGCGACCTCTCGTTCCGGTTTCCGAACCTCGTCGAGCCGTGGACGTCCCACATTTACGCGCGGCTGCGGGACATTGATACGAACGTGCGCAAGAACACGATCATGGTGCTCACGCACCTGATCCTCAACGACATGGTCAAGGTCAAGGGCCAAGTACGTCGTTTCTGGTGTGCGTTTGTAGTGTATATTAATGCGCCGGGTAGATTAGCGAGATCGCGCTCTGCTTGGTTGACGACGAAGCGCGAATCAAGGACCTCGCCAAGCTCTTTTTCCACGAGCTCTCCAAGCGCGGGAACAACCCGATCTACAACATGCTACCGGATACGATCGGTCGGCTCTCGACGAGGTACACTCGACTCTCGTATGGGATACTTAGCTGTGACTAGTGACCTTTCAAAAGAGTCGTTCCGGGAAATCACCAAGTTTTTGATTGGCTTTATTCAAAAAGACAAGCAAAACGAGAGCCTCGTCGACAAGATGTGCCAGCGGTTTGTCACGACGACCGAGAAGGCGCAGTGGCGGGACCTGGCGTTCTGCCTCTCAAACCTCTCGTTCAACGAGAAAGCGATCAAGAAGCTCCTCGAGCAAAAGAAGGTCTTTAAGCAGTGTCTCCAGGACGACGTGGTCTTCGAGTCGTTTGAGCAAATCGTCGCCAAGGTTCACGTCCTCGTAGTACCTTGCGGACTCTGAGCCTCGTGTAGTGCAAGAAATTCTGCAAGCCCGAACTCAAAGAGACGGTCGACGAACTCGAGCGCGTGATTCAGTCGCTCCGGGCCAACGAGGTGCGTGTTGAGATTCCACATTTTGAGTTTCATTCGTGTGGTGTAGAACGAAGAGGACGCCGAGGCGTCGTACCACAGCCAAAAGCCGGCCGAGAAGCGCAAGAAGCCGGTCGCAGGCGCAACACCCCGCAAGGCGCGGGCCAAACGCACAAAGAAGGCCAAGGTCGTGTTCGACGACGAGGACGAAGACGAGGTCATGGAGTAGTCATAAGGTGGAGTCAACACGAGTTGTTACGTCAAGAAGTAGGCTTCCGCAGATGCTTCCACACAGTTGGGGACCTAGATGTAGAGATACAACACCGCATTGAACCGCGATCTGTCGGGTAGGACCATCGAGTACAAATTGTACACAACTACAGTGCACGAAACGCCAGGTGATACACTGGTCCAAACAGAATACCGTTGGAATTCTGTTTCCGAATCTGGTCAAGCCAAAGCTTCAGTTGAGATCACGAGAGCACAGATTATCATGGTGACCTTCCGTGTCATGCGCGGAGGAATGGCGGAGGAAGGGCTGCAGGAAGCCGTCATGCTCTTCGCCAGCGCCCGGACGACTGCGTCCGAGATCCGCTCCTCGTCGGTACCGCACCAGGCGTGGCTCATGAGCTTGCACGACTTCATGTTCGTCCGGTTTGCCGAGGACATGCACGGCGAAGAGCGCTGTCCACCGGACCGTCGTGGGGATCATCAACGTTCCGCTCGCAGCCTACAGCGAAGCGACGCGCCAAATTCTGCGGCTTTTCGGTGGCATGCGTGACCTGGGTGGACGCCTCGTTTACCCCGACGCCCAGCTCGCCCCATGATATCACGCGGCCACTGACGCCGGCAACCGACGACGAATTCCTCGAAGTTGACCATCTCAACCTTGGTCATCCAGCTGTGCGCTCGCAGTGCTGTACGCTCGCAACCGAGACCACTCGTTCCATCTCGGGCAAGCCGTCAGCTTTGGCACCACTAACACCTGCTGCTTTGCCACCAGCCATTCAAGGGCTGCTTGATCCACACGACCACCGCATTCTGCGCCTGGTGGACCTCGGACACACAATGTGGCCAGACCAGCAGTCGATGGGAAGGGGTCCGATGATGACTGTGGCCAGTCGCGACATCTATCTCAGTCATCTCGAGAACCTGCCGACTAATCTGGTCATCAACCTCTTCCCGATCACCGAGGTGATCAAAAAGTGACTTCCATTGGTATAATGTCGATACACAGTTTCGTCTAGTCGGTCTTGTCCTTGGCGTCGTCCCCGTCATCGTCCGACGACGTGCCTTCGTACTCTTCCTTGGCCGTGTCGTGCGCCGTCTTGGTCATGACGGTCACAAGCAGTCGGACAAGGAGAAAGCCCCACCAAATGTGAAGCGCAAAGAGCGTGAGGAGGAGTGCGTTGAAGCCAAACCACATGGGCACGCCAGGGAAGCTCAGGATACGAAGGTCGTGGGCCTCGGCGAGCGTCGCCATGCACGCTTCGCGGTTTTCCCAGAACGCCGAGTTGATGAGTTTGGTCGGGAAGAGGTAGAGACGCACGACGAACCACATGCTGAGCACGATCGCAAAGAGGATTTCGGTGAGAAAGAACCCGCGGGGCCCACCGAGCTTGAGGTAGTTGGCCATCTTCATGAGATCGACGGGGATGTCGGACGCGTCGTGGACGAGGAGGATGAGCACGCCGATCGGAAGGTACCCTTGCGCATAGCTCCACGAGACGAGCGCAATCGTGACGACGTGGTGCGTCATCATAACTGCATAGTCCTTTCGAATTTCTTCGAGAAATTTGCACGAAAACGCCGTGTAGATCCAAATCGCCTAGTCCAAGAGTCTATAATCCAAGTCGACGACCACAAGGACGTACCAGTTGCGCCATGTAGAGCAGCTCGGTCAAGTAGTCGTGCGTTGGAAAATCGCACGTGACGCTTTTGGGGTTCCACACTAGAGCACGAATGTCATGCAAACAGAGGACGTGAAGAGAGGCGTACTGGAGCGCGTGTCGGCCCACCACGTTTTGTCGGCGAGGACGACGAGCTCGAGCGCAGTCATCGAGACGTGGATCGCGAGCTGCCACGACTGCTCCGTGAACTTCTTGAGCGTCGTGCGCTTCTTGAGCGGATCGCCAAGGTGCTTGAGGAAGGTGCGAGAGAACCAAGCGCCGCCGACGCCAAAGGAGGCCTTGACGGCAAAGATGGCGACGGCGACCATCAGCAGCATGCCCAGCAGCGTGAAGAGGAGGTCGCGCTCGAGGATGTACACGAGTGAGACGCACTCGGCGCAGAGCGTGGCGAGGAGGAGGCCATCGAGGAGCGCGGGCGGCGCAGCCACCGAGCGGCCCATTGAAAATTAGAAAGTGCAACGTGGTTGCAGCCAACACGTCGAGCTCGGATTGGCTCCTCTTTTTGAGCGACGCCGCTGATTGGTCGATCGCTGTGAAAGGGATCGCGGCCAGATGGCAGGAATACGAACGGGCAACCGCGTCTTTGTTGCGTGTCTTTTCAGGTCTCAAGTTGGATTGTGCTACAGCGATACCTCCAGCCCGACGACAATTGACTGTCGACACGCAAGTAGCACTCCTACTAAGCTTAGTACACACAGCGTATGGGCGAGCAGCCTGGCGCCGAGTTCTTTGTCGCTTTAGTTTTGCTCCTGCACCCAACGTTGTGCACGCGACAGGAGTTACCACGCGTCGGATCATTTGCTACAGCAAACTACGATGCTATCGTACACGCGATGTAGAAACTCTCGTAGAAGCTGATCCCGTACATGCAACGTCCAGGCGTAAAATGGCCCCTGGAAAGGCAGTCGAGGGAAAAGCGGCATGGTCGTTGCTGAAGTCAAATGGTTCATTTTGCTTTTGGACGGCGCTATCGGGCATGCAGCTGCTTGGACTCTACTCTCTTTTCTCGGCTCTGGAGTGCGTGCATGCGCGCCTCAGTGCGCTGACGCCGACGGCCTGCGATATCATCACGTCGGGCGACAAATTTACGCTCTTCTCGTCCCGCTACGGGTACTGGAACTTTGATTCGTCGATTGGCGTTGCCGACAAGAAGTCTCCGACGGTTCTGAACGCTAAGCTGCAGCCCGACGGCACGTCGTTCTGGCTCAAAATCGACACGACGCACTACTTGGCACCCAACCCGGACGCGACCGCGTACTTCTTCCGCACGGTGACGGCCGTCGCGGACGAAGCAGCGACCAACTCGGCGTTTGGCGCTGGCCTCGTCCTCAGCATTCGTCGCTGGAGCTGCCTGCCGATGGGCCCGAACGCGATTGCACTTATCGACTCCAACGGCTACTCGCCCAAGCCGACACCGTACCACAGTGAGAGCGACAGCCCGTGGCCGTACCTCATTAGCGCCTCGGTCGATGTCCTTTTCGGGCCGTCCCCCGAGCAAACGTGGATCGTCGATCGAGTCTAGTCCAAGTACCAATAAGTTCTGCGATTCTTGCTTGATAGCTTGATACTACTCTGCTGCACATCTGTTTGTAACTGCGATGGACAGTGCCTCGGTTGAACTAGACCAAGAAGAAACGTATACTTTGCTACGAGACGCTTAGGGGAGGTCGTCGTCGGGTCGCGAGATAAAGCTAAAGCCGCGGAACTCGCCGACGTCGTGGTTCTGGAGGATGGAACCGGTGCGGTCGCGGGCCGTGACGGCGTTTTGGTTGACGTTCCGGGGCACAAATACCGTGTCCGTCTTGCTCACGCGCGGGTCAAAGGGCGGCGTCACCTTGCGCTGGAGCAGCTGCGCCCAGTCAAACTCGTTGAAGAACGGGTGCATGAGCACCTCGTCCGCCCCCGCGGGACCACTCCCAAGACGATGGAGCGGATCGCGGTTGAGGAGGCCGCGGATGAGGTCGACGGCCGCGTCCGAAAAGCCGGGCGTGAACGTCACCCACTGCTGCTTGAGGATCGTCTGGAACATAATGTCGCGGTTGCGGTGGTAGTACGGCGGCTTGCCGCCAATCATCTCGTAGAGGAGGATGCCAAACGACCACCAGTCGGCGGCTTTGCCGTACGTCTGGCCCTTGAGGAGCTCGGGCGCAATGTACGCAGCAGTCCCGCAAAAGGTCTTGGCGCCCTTGAGCCCTGACACGCCTTGTTTCGAGAGACCAAAGTCGGCAATGCTCACATGGCCTTCGTGGTCCATGAGCACGTTCTCAAGCTTGACGTCGCGGTAGATGATGTTGATCTGATGCAGATGCGCGATCGCGGCGGCGATTTCCGCTGCGTAAAAGCGCGCGTGGCTCTCTTGGAACTTGCGGACGCGACGCAGATGCACCGCGAGCGAGCCAGCGCTGAGGTAGTCCATGACGAGGAAGAGTTTGGACTGCGACTGGAACGCGTAGTGGAGCTTGACGACGAACGGGTGCGCGACCTCGATGAGGATGTGACGCTCGGCCATCGTCGTGTGCACGAGGCCGCTCGAGAGCACCTATATGTTATCGTCAAACCCGATCGTTTTGCGGAAATTTCGCACCTGGTCCTTCTGAAGCACCTTGATCGCGTACGTCTCGCCCGTGTTTTCGCCGGCAATTTTCTTGCCCAGAAACACTTTGCCAAACCCGCCTTGACCGACGACCTTGAGCAGCTCAAAGTCCTTGATGCTGATCGACGCCGCGCGGGAGCTCTCTTTGGCCTGCATGTGGCGTTTCTGTAAGCAGTATGAGTGCTCAGACTGCATTCGCACAGGAGAATACCTGAACGACTTCAAAGATGCTGTTGTTGCTCTTGGAGCCTGGGACATAAATGCCCGCCAGCGCCGGATTACCGCCGCCCCGGGGCTTGTACGACATGACAGACGACGAGGCCGTCGAAGCCGTCGACGAGGACGACGTGGCGCGCATCGGCGTTGACGTCGCCGTGTCCGGCGCCGGCTTGGCGAGCGCGGCTTTTGTCGACTTGCTCGCAAAGACGCCCTTGCCCTTGCGAAGCGTACTGCGCATGTCCTTGACGATGGCCGTCATGCCAGGCACCGGCGGGTTGGACGAGAGGAAGGCGAAGACCGCCGACTCCATCGCTTTCACGTGCGTTGACGAAAGCGGCAGCGCATACGGACGCTTGGACGGCTCGGTCTCCTCGCTCTCGTCGTCTTTGAAGCCTGTCGAGAGGCAGACGCAGCCGACGCGGCTCTGGGAGCCCACGACTTGGCCGCAGAGCGGGAGGCCCACGGCGCCCTCCCAGTTGATCGCACGGCGACCGAGGGTCTCGAGCACCACCAGACTCAAATGCGTGTCGACCGTGTGCGTCGACTGCAGCAGCGCAATGCGGCGGATGCGCTCGGCCGTCGTTTCTTCGTTTTGCACGAGCAAGTCGAGGAGCGTGAGGCCGCCGGCGCCGGCGACGACAAAGTCGACGGGACACGAGACCGCCGAGTAGACCAAGTTGGTCCAGACGGTCGCAATGTGTTCGTTGGGCGACGCCGAGTACGGGATCGGCACGGCGCGCGAGACGCCGTGGTCCTCGTACACAAGCGCCGAGTTGACGTACGGGTTGCAGACGAGAACGCCGTAGCTGTCTTGCAGCGCGTGCTCAATGTACGAGCGCATCGAGAACGGATGCTCCATGTCGTCGGCGGCGTGCGACTCGGCGTGCTTCCACGCACCCAGTGCGCCTGAGTCGCCGATGAAGATGACGAGCTTCTCCATCTGCGCATAGTGTTTTGATGCATAGATGCGGCAGCGCAGCGGCGCCTCTTTCGAGGGCAGGTACAGCGACTCCATGTTGAGCTTTGTCTCGAGGTAGTGGCCAAGGCTCTTGGCGGCGTCGACCACTGTTGCCGCCATTGGTCGCGGAGCGACCTCTTCTTCCTTCTCGAGGCCGATGATACCCTTCAAGTCGAGCTCGCCAAACGAGCTTGGGCGCGGCAGCGGCTCGTTGCCCTTGGCTTGGTCGTCGCTCGACGGCGCAGCAACGGGCGACGGCGTTTGGTTATCCTCGTCCTTGCATTCCTCTTCGATGGACGACGCCGAGAGGAGCGACGGGCGCAACGGCGCTGGGTCGTGTTGGTTCGGGTGCGCCTCGTCTTCCGACTCGGAGTAGTCTTCTTCTTCGTGCGACGGCGGCACGACGACGACCTTGTCGTGCACAAAGGACTCGCGCACCGCCTCGTACTGTTTGCTGTCATGCGTGAGGTCGGCCTTTGCGAGCGCTTCGTCGAGCTCGTCGTCGCCGTTGTTGTCGACGTCGACGTCGACCGATTCGAGCATCACAAACGAGTTGGACGCGCCGCTGAGGTCGTTCAACGCCGACGTGACGCGCTTGAGGTCGCTCGCACGCGGCGACGCTTCGAGGACCGCAATGAGCAGGTGCTGCGCGCCTTCCGAGAGCGCTTCCATGTCGTGCAACAGATCGTCGTGGTCGTGGTCGTGCTGGTTGTTGTTGTGGTTGTGGCTGTTGTGATGCGACGGCGGCGGACCACGGGGCGGCACTTGCACGCTCATGCGGTGCGCCGGCGACGTGCTCCGGCTCGAGTACGCACTCTGCTCGCTGCCGTCGCGTGGGACCATTGGCGGCTTGGTGTACGGCAGATCGACGTTGTGGCCGCACGAGCCGCAGAAGCGCGAGCCCGTGACCATGTGCCGGCACTTGGGGCAGCACTTGGCGCTGCTGGGCGGCGCTAGCACCGTGGGCATTTGCAGCGGTGCGCCATGGTTGCGGATGAGCGTTTGGAGGGCGACCATCCACTTTTGCCGCTCGCGGTCGCTCTCGGCAAAGACGTAGTAGGGCACTTGCTCGGTCGTAATGAACTGGAAACCAAACTGCTCGCCGTCCCAGAGCGCAACGTCTTCGACGCCGACCTCGGCCAGACTCTGCTTGTTCATCGAGTCGTAGTCCGAGTAGTACGATAGGGTCGCGCCCCGGAGCACAAAGTAGCGCCGCTTCCAGCTCTTGCGCCGGTGGCCTTGCTTGGTGAGGTACCCGGCGCACGAGATCGGCTTGATCGCCGACGCGACGTTGGTCGTCACCGATCGCATCCAGCGCTCCTGGTCGTCCGGGTGCAACGTCGAGAGGTATAGCATCGAGCCCGTCTCCGACTGCACCATGAGACCGTCTTCCCACTTGCCGACCGTCTTGATGTGGATCTTGGCCGACGGTACGTCGTGGCCGCGGTAGCCTTCTTCGTCGTTGTAGCATTTGAGAAGTGTGCCCGTGAGCACGTAATACCTAGAACGAGCATGCGGCGTCGTCCTAAAGAGGTCATGGACGTACTTGGGGCGGGAGCTCAGGAACGAAAAGCCGGGCGTGCGCTTGGTGAGGTAGCCTTCGCAGTCGGTCGCGTTGGACGTGACAACGTACAGGTCTTGGAGGGCGAGGAGCCACCTTTGGCGCTCGGCGTTGACGTTGGCGTAGACGTAGTAGGCAACGCGCTTGGTCGTGAAAAACATGAAGCCAAACTTCATCTCGTCGCTGCCCCGCGCCGACTTGAGGACGCTGTTGCCCGTCGTCGCCGAAAAGTACTCCCACGGCGCGACCTTGACGAGGTGCACTTGGCCGAGCTTCTTGACCATCGAGTCGTCGGCGTAGTAGCACAAGATCGCATGCGGCCGGAGCACGAAGAAGCGCGTCTTCCAGTTGGTCACGACGTGGCCGCGCTTGGTGAGGTACCCGGCGCAGAGGATCTCGTCGCCGTCGCCCATCATGCGTCTGCTGCTGGCTGCCAAACTTGCGATTGTAGCAGCATTACAAGCCCCGGGGTATCATAGAAACTTCGGATGCGGCGGCAGAGTGCACTTTCGAGCGCTTTTGGCCAATCACAGGTCGCCTGCTGGCGGACCATCCGAGGCAATTCGCGTAGACAAGTACACATGGCCGTCGCGTGGCCACGTCATTTCCTCAGAGAGCGTGGGATGGGCGCTGGCGCCAGCACCTCATCTAAGCGAATTTGTCTTCGAACTTCCCACTGAATTTGCACTTGAAAAGTTTTCGCGCACGTTGCCAGTAGACCAAGCCCCAGACGGCAAACTCGCGACTTCGTACGCTAGTCGACAGGCTCTAGCAGCCACATGGACTAGAGGCACCATATTGTTCTTCGTTGTCTACGGTTAGCTCAGGTCCAAGTTGAGGTTGGACCGCCCGACAAAGCTAAACCCATCAAAGTCGTTGTGGCGCTGCGGGCCGTGCTCGTTGCGGTGCATCATGCTCACCTGCCGGTCTTGGGAGGTGATCTCGTTGAGGTTCTGCGCCACAAAGTGCGTGTCTAGGCGACCGACGCCCGGGTTGAACGGCGGCGGCACGCGCTTGGCGAGGAGCTCGGCCCAGTCGATCGAGTCAAAAAATGGGTGCGTGAGCACCTCGTCGGCGCCGCGCGGACCACTGCCGAG